ATGCCCTCAACCAGAGATGGAGGAAAGCTAAGAAAGGTAACAAGGTCCAGAGTAACTAGGATTGGTTTTTTTGTTTGATTGGTTTTGGTTCGTGTGTGTGTGTGTGTGTGTGTGTGTTGCTAAATATGTGTTCTACCATTGAGCTATATATCCAAAGTTTGGTTGTTTTTGTCTTAAAGAAACTCTATAGGCCTGAAACTTTTAGTCATTTTCCCCCATCATTTGGGGGTTGATTATTTGAAACAGATTCTCCCTATTTCAAACAAGGTCCCAGGCTGACCTGGAACTCAAGAGCTTCCTGATTCAAACTCTGAGTAGCTAGGGTTACAGGTGTATGCCACCATACCCAGCTAAACTTGTTTTGTTTGTTAGTGTGCTTGTTTTGTGGTGCTGGGGATGGAACCCAGGGCCGCACATACACCCCCCCACACACACACACAGAGGCAAGTCATTGTTCTACCTCTGAGCTACATCCACAGCCCTAATGCTGGTATTATTTTAACATGGAATATTCATTTTCTCTCTCTCTTTTTTTTTGAGACAGGGTCTGGCTATGTAACCCAGGCTGGCCTTGAACTCACAGCAATCCTCCTGTCTCAGCCTCCCAAATGCTGGAATTACAGGTGTGCACTACCATGCCCGGCTTCGTTTTCTCTCTCCCTTGGGGTTGGGGGTAGTGGGGATTGAACTAGGGACCTTTCATTTGCAAGGCAGGCTTCAGAACCACTGAGCTAAATCCCCAGCCCTCATTTTCTCTTGAAGCCGGAGAAGAAACCCGAAAACATCTATAAGAAATTGGAGAAAAGAAGGTGCAGCAACCTGAAAGGTATATGGGAAGATATCACTGATGAAGTTATGGGGCTTAATGGCATACTAAATTGCTCACCCAGTGGTCTCCAGTGAATTTGATGGTTAAAATTGTGAGAGAAAGAAGAAAATGGAGCCCTGCATGGTGGCACACAACTGTGATCCCAGCACTCTGGGAGGCTGAGGCAGGAAGATTGTGAGTTGGTGGACATCTTGGGTAGTTTAGAGATGTAGCTCAGTGTTAAGAGCTACATCCACTTGTGCTTCGCATGTTGGAGGCCCTGGGTTCAATCCACAGAACTGAAAAACCAAAAACAAAAAAGTCCATGGGACCAGAGATTTGGCTCAGTGGTTCTGCCGCCTGCCTCGCAAGTGCAAGGAACCGAGTTTGACTCCTGGTGCCAAAAAAGATAAAAAGGGCTGGGGGCCGGGGATTTAACTCAGTGGTTCTGGTGCCTGCCTTGCAAGTGCAACTACCCTGAGTTCAATCCCCGGTACCCTAAAAAAAAAAAAAAAAGGCTGGGGATTTAGCTCAGTGGTTCCAGAGCTTGACTTGCAAGCACAACGGGCCTGAGTTCGAACCCCAGTACCCCCGCTAAAAAAACAAAAACTCCACAATCCCAAGGAACACAACCATGAGAAAGACAATGCAGTTTACAAAAATTTCCGATTGCAAAAGAGGAACAATTTCTTGATGTGACAACTACTGGAATAAAAAAAAAAACATTGACACAGTTGGAAGAGTAAAAGCGCTATGCAAATTCAAAGCATCATTATTATTCCTCCCTCAAGGGAGATGGTGGTGACTGCACCCTTAGAACACAAGGAACAGTAGGAGAGGTAGCAGGTCCCACAGTACCTGCAGATTTCAAAATTCAAGCCCACTTCCCCTGGGACCAGATGAGATTATGCTGCAGGCTGAGGTCCCTCCAGGAAGGGCCACATTGGGCTTCCTCACATTCCCAGTAGGTTACTTTGGGGATTCCATGGGCTTTGCTGCTCCCCCAAAGTAAATGGCTGCTTGGCTTTGTTGAAAACTCTCAAGTGGTGTGCATGGCTGCAAGCCATCTGCTCAGTTTTTAGGTTGACGAGTTGGGTCACACGTGAAGCTTGGAGAAAGGTGGTAGATTTTCATCTGTGAGACGTTAAAGCGGTGCCCTGCAGGAAGCAGTTCCACTCTAGATGTGAGAAGTTGGAACTGTGTATGTGAGAGTTAAAGGGAGTTCTGTTGGGGAAACCGTTTCCATATAGAAAATACCTGTTTTTCTCTTCTATTGCATAGCCTAAGGCTGGGAGTTGAGGGCTTTGCAGGAAAAATCTTATCCCTTTTTTATTTCCTCCTAGGTGCCAGGCCCTTCATACCTGTCATCTTATTTAATACTCACCACAACCCTGGAAGGTAGGACTTTACAAATGAGTAAACTGAGCTAGGCGACCTAGAGCATGCCTATGATCTCAGCACTTGGGAGGCTGAGGCAGGAGGATCACAATGGTTTCACTATGCCTGGGCTGCATAGTGAGTACAAAGCCAAACTGAACTACATAGCGAGACCCTGTCACCAAA